CACAGCCTAATGCTGCAAGGCATAACAGCCAGCTTTGTAATCTCGTGCATGCCATTCATCATAAATGCTGCATTTATCTTCTTTTGAAGGATTTTTCTGTATTCCCTTCTTCTGCAACATAGTTTTAATATAATGATTTCATCAGTTAAAATTATGCCACAGCTCTATTGAACTAAAACAATACCTTTAATCTGTAATAAGACGGAAGTCCTGTTGGTTGGCGGTTCGGGCTTCGGAGAAGGTGAATTGAACCTTGTCCTGAATGGGGTTGCACTCCCTCCCAGGGACAAGGTCTGCAGCTTGGGAGTGCTCCTCGACCCGGAGCTTTCACTCGAAGCTCAGGTAACAGCAGCGGCGAGGAGCGCTTTCCTCCAGCTTCAGCTGATTCATCAGCTGCGCCCCTATCTGGAGTACGACAGCCTCGCAACAGTGACTCATGCACTGGTGACTTCCCGTCTTGACTTCTGTAACGCACTCTACGTGGGGCTGCCCTTGAAGACAGTCCGGATACTTCAATTGATTCAAAATAGAGCTGCCAGGCTGCTGACGGGAACTGGACGTTATGCTCACATGACTCCAGTTCTCCGTCAGCTTCACTGGCTTCCCATTGAAGTCCGGGCCCAATTCTAGGTGTTGGTGATGACCTATAAAGCCCTAAACGGCTTGGGTCCTGGTTACCTGAAGGAGCACTTACGTCCATATATGCCCAGCCGCCCCTTGAGATCAGCAGGAGAGGCCCTCCTCCGGGAGCCCTCAGTGAAGGAAATTAGGAGGGTGGCTACTCGGAGGAGGGCTTTCTCAGCGGTGGCGCCTAAGTTATGGAATGCGCTCCCCAGAGAGGTCCGCCTGGCGCCGTCGTTATTTGTTTTTTGGTGCCAGGCGAAGACCTTTTTATTTAAGCAGCATTTTAAATGTTAATATTATTGAATTTTATTCGGCCAGGGCGGCTTATTTTATTTTACTGTATATATTTTAATTGTTATTGTTTTAATATATTTTGTATTCGATGTTGTAAGCCGCCCCGAGGCTTCGGCAAGGGGCGGCATAGAAATGTTTTAATAAATAAATAAATAAATAATAAACCACAGGAAGGTAATTAATCTTTCTGATCAAGTAAAATATCCATACCTATCTTGTTTATTTAGTATTTCATTTCCTCATTTTTCTACCAACACCAATATTATTGGCTTGAGACTTCTGTCAGTTTGTATCGAAAAACAAAGCTGATTTTGTTTTTTATAATATTTAATCAGCAGCACTATATACAAACACACTCCTTTACAAAATATTTATTTATTTATTTATTTAGTGAATTTGTAGGCCATCCATCACAGTCATCTCTGGACTGCTTACAACATTATTTCAAATCCTAAATAAAATAAATTTCCACAATAAAATAACTATTCCACAATTGATCCTTCCTTGGATGAGTTTATTGAAACCCAGAGATATGGATAAGGACCGGGTAGAAACAGCTGAAAAAGAAACAACAGAAAGAACATGTAGTGCTCGCCTTGTGAGTCTGGTTCCTTCAGAAAAAGCTGAGCATTCTCCTGCTTGTCCTGAAAATTAATTGGGCTGTTTAAGTGTCAGATCATAGACAGCAGCAGACCCATGGCAAGGAGGGCAGGGAGACCAGCTGAGGCCTAAGGACCAGACTGTGCACTGACCTAACACACACACGCATGAAAGAATATAGAATAAACTGGATACCTCTGCACAACCCCAAAAGGGAAACCAGCTCCTGCCACCATTTTTTTTCTAGCTCATTGTTACCACATGTTTTCTTTTTAGTGTGTTAGAATGAAATTGCACTCATACTAATAAATAAGAAATTCTTAGGGAAGTGCCCTCTTTCCCCTATACTCTCCCTTACAGTCCTATACAGGTTACATTGGCTGCTGGTTGCTGCCCATGTCCAGTTTAAAGTGCTTATAATAACATACAAGGTTCTAAACTGCTTGGGACCAGGCTATCTGAGGGAGTGCATTTCTCCATACATACCCTCCCAATCACTGTGGTCAACATCCGAGCCCTTCCTTTGTGTTCCCAGAGGCAGTCTGGGTGAAACTAAGGGGTTTTGATGGGGAGAGGGACCTGACAGTGGGAGTATGTTATCATCACCATTGAGTGAGTCTCCCAACTAATAACTGGGAGATTGAAATCTCCCATAATTACTGTGTCCTTCTCCCAGGATATCCTTCAAATCTGGTCTGTCAGGGCCTCATCCAGGGTCTCAAGCTGACTCTGTGGGTGACAGCATACCCTCACTGTCAGGTCCCTGTGCTCATCAAGACCCTTCAGTTTTACCCAGACCAATTCTATCAGATCCCCATCTTTGCCACCCTCTATCTCACTGCATCCTATTCCTTCCTTGATACATAATGCTATGCCCCCTCCCCTCTTACCTTTCCTGTCTTTCTAAACAGGTGATACCCCTCTGTGTTTACATTCCAGCATTGCCTTTCATCCCACCAAGTTTCCGTGATCCCCACCAGGTCATACCCTCTATTCCCAGGAGAGCTTCAAGCCCTTCCTGCTTGTTTCCCATGCTCCTAGTTCCTATATATGCATCTAAGCTTCTTCCCACTATTCCCTTTCTTTGGGTCCCCAGGCCTCCTCCTTCTACCCATCTTCCCTGGTACTAGAACTCCCTCTGTAGAAGTCCCACCAGCCCCTGCAGTACCTCCAATGGCCTGGTCCTGAAACCCTGATCCCCTCCCCTTACTTGTCCAATCAGGGCAGGTTTCTGGGGGTGCTGAACCTATCCCTGTTCAGTTTAAAGCCTTCTAGACAAAGATTGCTAGAGCATTTCTGAAGGATCTTCTCCCCATTTTCACGATTACACCTTCCCTCACCAGAAATTCCTTCCGATACCATGCCCTGAGCCAGTCGTTTGTCTCCACCACCCTCCTCTCCCTAATTGGCCCAAATCCCTGGGCAGGCAAGGGAGAGAAAAAGGCCACCTGGGCCTTTTGGTCCTTGAGTCTCTTGCCCAGAGCCTCAAAGTTCCTAGCGATCCTGCGTACCCTCTGCCTGGCTGTGTCATTCATCCCCACATGGATCACCAGAAGCAGCTGGTGAGCCCCTGAGGGAAGAAGACTCTCCAGTCTGTCATTTGCTGGATTCATGCACCCAACAGCCAGCAGGCCTCCCTTGCCTCAAGGTCAGGGTGGCACACCGCCACCTCAGTACCCCTTAGCAGGGAGTCCCCTACAACAATCACCTGCCTCCGTCTCTTCCCAGTGGAGGTAGATGGCTGTGCCTTGGCCCTCACCACTCCAGCAGCAGCCCCCTGGCTGCATCTGGCCCCAGGCAGAGTTCTTGAACAGGTTGGTCCCCCAGGTCAGCATCAGCCCCAGCCTCCCCAAGTGGAGAAAACCTGTTTCCCAGCTTCAGGTTGGTGCCAGGAGACAGAGGAGGCCATGCTGGCTTCCTCTTCCTGTGGGTGACATGCCTCCATGCCTCCCTGGCTGTTTCCCTATTGGCCACTCCCTCATCCTTCTGCCCAGGATCTTCTGCTTACTAATTACTAATCTTTCTTTGATCAAAACAGACCAGATTGCCTGTCCCCACTTCCACAAAGTTACATGTTTCTCAAAATGAATGGAAACTGTCTTACTGAGAATTTAATAGTTACTTCCTAGAATTCTAGTTGGCCATCTGTTTCCACATTAATGGCACTTTTATTTGGGCACCATTTACTCCAAAATATTTTTTGTCAGAGTAAGATGAACATCCAGTCTAAGCCAAAACATGACAGCTTCATTTGGATTCAACTATACTACTACAGTGTAAAAAATACATTGTCATCATTACATGTCTGCTCCACATATGGTATGGTGTGTGATAATTGTATTATGCAGTGGAATAACTGGGCATGAACCCAGAATGCAAGAGTTGCACATCTAACAGAAGCAGAGGCCAGGACTAGTCATTATGCATTCTGGAGGGTTTGCTTGATTTGCTAAGCCTTTTGGCTTGATTTGCTAAGCTATGCATGATGGCTTCTTTGTAGCAGCATCTGACGAACAGCTTTCCCTGGGCTCATAATTTTTTGCCTCCCCCTCCCTCCCCACTCAGGTTCCAGTGAGCAGAAGCATATATCCCAGACATCTCTGTGGCAAATCAGTGTCCCACAGCGAGTGGCATCATTGCTACATTGCCAACTTTTCCCCCTATTGGCCCATGACCACTACATCAGCATCTTTGTTTCTAAAGCTCTGCTTTGGGCCAGACTGCATCACTCCTTTCCAAGTCTCCCTCTCATCTGCCATTTCCCCACAACTTCTCCATCCAAGAGCATGTTCCCTCTGTTACCTCTGATTCCACCCATCGCATGGTTTCTATTTTGTTTGTGTGATAGTTCTGGCTAGACCCTGCCAACAACACCCAATTCTCTCCCATTGGCACTTCAGCCTTTCCTTCTCCATCTTGTCCATCTTGTCTACATAAAGATTTTATAGTTGGATTGCTCACAATTCTTGTTATCTGTGTCTCTTTACTGTAAAACCTTCCTACGTTTCATCAGTGAATCATTTCCTTCACTCTTTTCCTGTCTACCACTGTTCTCTTTTCCCTCTAGCCAATGTGTTACATACATACCTTCCCAACTACTCATGTACACTACTTATCCAAATATAGCCACCATCTTTTCTGCCATTACCACTTCCCATGAGACATTCACTGCAATATTTTTTGTGTTTCACCTGGAGGACTAGTGTTGCAATGACAGAACTGTCTGAATAAAAGCTGTTCTTTGTCCTACACAAGTGTGATGAAAATCAGTACACAGAAATCAAGAGGGCAGCATTACTGTTTTAGTTACATTATACATAATCACAACACAATCTTTCTTTGCTATAGATATGTGGCCCCTAGTCTTTGAGGTATGAGGTTTCTACTGGGATTTTAATGGAATTAACATTCTTAACAAGACTGATTAGTAAAACTGAAATCATTTTCACATGGACATGTGTTTCTTTCAACAGAACATGTACCTTGAATGTTAATCCTGGAGACTGATGGCTGACTTGCTGCTGGTGATCTCCTGTAGAGGAATAAATTGGAGGCCATGAAGTGCTTATTATACAGATGCATAATAAGTAACTGACAGATGCTTTCTAATATCATCTGAGCATTTGTTTTCTATTAACACACAATAGCTAAGACTAACTTTACATGAACAACAATGGTTATGTGAATGCTAGGGATGGCTCTTGACAGTGAATCAGCACAGAGGCTACGCCATTCAAAAAAATCTGTTCTCACTCAGTCTTATCATGTGGGTCAGCTTCTGGCAAGGTTGTTTTCTCTACTCCTAAACTGTAGACTGGAATATTCTGCATGGAGGAAAATGTAGGGAGGGATGCCTGACCCGTGTGGCAAGTCATGGCCACCAAACGGGTTGACCACATGAACAATTGCCACACAGATTCCATTGCAAGTAGTTTCCATAGTGAGTATTATATATGAGAGCCAGTGTGGTGTAGTGGTTAAGAGCATGGGACTGGGACTCAAACGATCTGGGTTCGAGTCCCCGCTCAGCCATGGAGCCAACTGGGTGACTTTGGGCCAGTCACAGACTCTCAGCCCAACCTACCTCACAGGGTTGTTGTTGTGAGGATAAGATGGAGGAGATGTACGCTGCCTTGAGCCCTTCATAGGAAAAAGGCAGGATATAAATAGAAAAATAAATAAATAAAATAAATAAATGTGAAGTATGCTTAAGTAAAATGAAAGTATAGAAAATAAGTTGAAATAAAATGTGTTATCTATATGGCTGTATGGATTTTCCATGCACTCAAATGCTTATGCAAGTCTCCAAAACTTTTTTTTAAACTCCCAAAAGCTGATTTTTAGACACAAATGTGCCATCCTTCAGGACATTGTATTCTAATACCACTTTGAGCCTCTATAAACACAGATATTTTCCCAAGCCAAGAGGAAAACTACTCAAATTTGTGTGATTCCAATTTATGAGCATGGTATATACGGCTACAACAAATTATTACCATTTGTATTTTGTTCATTCACATCAGTAGGAGACAGGCTGCATAAATTAAATTTTATTTTCACAGATATGCTTGCTGCAGGGCAAATCCCCAAACTAAATGTTGGTTAGATGTCTGCTACTCAAAAACTACATTTCCAAAAATCAACTTGGAAGTGAAAATTTTATTGTGTAATCCTATGTATATTATATGCAGAGGTATCTTTCACTGATTTTAAGGAGACTTATTTCTTATAAATATTCTATGAATATATATTGTGGTTAATTAAAATAAACTTACTTGTTTGATGTTCCTTGCAGATTTGTCAGTAATGTAAAATTATTTCTTATGCTCCTCAAACTTGCCAAGACCTATGAAAGAAGACCACACTGGAATATTAAAATAAATACAAACACACAAAATGTATATATGTAAACAGATAATGAAATATTCCAAAGCCCCATTCATTTCAGTGGAAAACAATTATGGTCATACTAACTCTTTCACCATGAAGAAAAAGTTTTAAATTTGTCTGAATCATGCTCATGGTATAGAATGTCGTTATACCACTTCTTTTAATTGTTCAACCTAATTATACAATATAAATAATTCATATCATACATTCTCATTAATAATTGCTACTTATGCATGGATAAAAATGACAATACTTACAATGCACCTGTTACAGCAAATTTTTGACTAGGATAGGGCAAGGCTGAATGTAGAGGCTGTGGTTAGCCAGTGTACATGGCTGCAGACAACTCAGCATTTGTGACAGTCACTTGTGCTATCCCTTCTGGAACTTATTGTAAATTTGATATGGTAGATCATTAATGAGGCCAAAGAACATCCTCCCTTTCTAGGGTCAAACATGCTGGTCTTTTGCAACACCACTCAGTTGCTTTTCATTATTGCACAAGCAAATTCTTTAAAGACAAAATGAGTTCTATCACTCTCTGTTAGGTTTGTATGACATATGCACTGTCATCAGTTACAGCCTTCATACTTTGAAACATAGAAACAGAGCGAGTCAGACGGGGTCTCCCGGGCCACCTAGTCTGACCCCAGGCTCCAGCCAGCTCCGCTCATGACATGCCTACCAGTGCATGTAGCAATCATAGCATTGTGTCTAATGTCAATCTAACCTACCACAATTCATTTAAAGAAATCTATACTAAATAGAACTAATATTGGATACAATCCATTGTTAACCTCTAAACATAACACTTCTGTAGTAGGGCCAGTATGGTTGCAAACAGATGTATCCTTCTCTCTCCCACATTATCTTGGAGCATAAGCTCCAGGGTGGAGAACAGAACCAATTGAGGGTGAGAAGCCAGATTGCCCCCTATCAGGTAGGATGATGTAGGATGATGTCAGGTGGTACATGGTTCTGACTCCTATTGACTCCCCCCTTTTTTAGCTCAGATCAGACATAATAGGTGATTTAGAGTGGTTGGACTCAGCTTCCAGCAACAGAACCCAAACTGATGTCTCTGATCAGAGATAACAATGGGTCTGTGGGACAGCAAGAGCAGTCTGGAAATACTGGGAAGCCAGTATTGTTGGCACAGGCAAGGCCTACTACCATGCATCTCTTGCTGTGTCCTACCAATTAGAGATAGAAATAGCAGTTGTGGTTCTACTGCTGGTGTGCTAGTTGAGAATGCTTTCTGGGGATATTCCTTCAGGGGACAGGTCTTTGGAGCCATGAATGCAAGAGATTTTGCAGGCAAGAATGGGGAACCCCATGGCCATATATTAGGAAATCAAGGACTATAGTGAAGGATGTAATATCTGATTACATAGGAAACCAAACACTAGTCAGGCAGCCATAAGTGCACTTCATTTTTGGAAGTAGCAACAGAAGAAACAGCCTGCAAGGATATGGGTGCAGTTTTTGCAAAGAGGATGGGGACAAGACAAGGAGCTCTGCAACCTACTGCAACCTGAAATGGCAGGGGCAATGAAATAGGAGCAATATTTTCAACTGCACTTTGGCCTTTTAAATGCCTCAGGCTGACATCATCATCACATTAAAATCTGTGTCAGAACATCTGAAACATACCTGTGCAAAAGGTGTAACTATCAGATCATCTCCATGCCTGGAAAACAAAAACAATACCATATTTTAGAGAAATTTAAAAGAAATAACTACAGAATGAAGGATAATCATGATACATATTCATTTTGTTCTGAAATTTTAGGCAATAGCCAGTGAAACAGTTCCATCCTCATTCAGCACAGAAATATTAAGACTGTAGAAATCAATATGGGAATGGTAATTGGAATCAAGATGGAAATTCAGACCTTTTCATTATTCTACTCAAACTTCTCAGCACTGAGTTTGGTTACACTTATGATTCTAATGGCTTTCTGCACAAGTTTTGATATGATATAATATTCCTGTTTAACATATCAGTATTATTAACAGTACAATTCTATCCATGTCTATTCAGAAGTAAGTTGCTCTGATGTTAAGGGAATTATTCCCAGAAGCAGGTGATAGAATTGCAGCCTAAATCAATAGATTTCAGAGTGATCTTGGAGCCCAAGAAAATAAAATCTGTCACTACTTCCATTTCTTCCCCTTCTATTTACCAGGAAGTGATAGCAGCAGATGCCATAATCTTAGTTTTCTTGTTGTTGAGTTTCAAGCCAACTTTTGCACTCTCCTCTTTCACCCTCATCAGGAGTCTCTTTAGTTCCTCTTCACTTTCTGCCATTAGAGTGGTATCGTCTGCATATTTGTAGTTGCTGATATTTCTCCCAGCAATCTCAGTTCTGGCTTGTGATTCATCTAGCCTGGCCTTTTGCATGATGTACTCTGCATATGAGTTAAATAAGCAGAGAGACAATATACAACCTTGCTGTACTCCTTTCCCAGTTTTGAACTAATCAGTAGTTCCATGTCCAGTTCTCACTGTTGCTTCTTGACCCACATACAGGTTTTTCAGGAGGAAAGTAAGATGGTCTGGCACTCCCATCTTTTGAAGAACTTGCCTCAATTTGACGCACAATCAAAGGCTTTAGTGTGGTCGAAGAAACAAAAGTAGATGTTTTTCTGGAACTCCCCAGCTTTCTCCACAATCCAGCGAATGTTGGCAATTTGATTTCTAGTTCTTCTGCCTCTTCAAAACCCAGCTTGTACTTCTGGTAGTTCTTGGTCCACACACTGCTGAAGCCTAGTTTAGTTCACTGATTCCCAAGATGTCAATGCTCAGTCTTGCCATCCCATGTTTGACTATATCCAGCATACCTTCATTCATAGTTCTTACATTCCAGGTACCTATGCAAGAATGTTCTTTACAGCATTGGACTTCCCTTTCACCACAAGGTACATCTGCAATGGAATGATTCCTTTCATCTTTGACCCAGTTGCTTCACTTTTTCTGTCACTACTTGTATTTGCCCTCCACTCTTCCCCTGGAGCATACTGGACACCTGCCGACCTGAGGGGCTCATTTTCTGGTGTCATATCTTTTAGCCTTTTGCTATTGTTCATGGGGTTTTCATGGCAAGGGTACTGGGTTGCCATTTCGTTCTCCAGTGGATCACCTTTCATCAGAGCTCTCTGCTATGACCTGTCCATCTTGGGTGCCCCTGCGCGGCATAGCTCATAGCTCCATTGCGCAACACCAGCCCCTTCGCTACAGCAATGCACTGATCCATGAAGGGGAGATTTCAGAGTAGCCATGTATAAGTTTGTCTTATTAATTGGTTACTCCACTTGATGAAATAGTACTAGTAATAAAGTAATGAACTTCCAATCTCAACATCATTAGTCAAATGTTTGTTTATGACATTATCCTATTTTTTAAAGGGATGGGAAGGGTAAAGAATGTACATCTAACAGATTAATTAGAATTGCTCCTGTTCTAACTAATACCAAATAAAGTTGCAGCTGGTTTGAAATGTACTCCACTGTATTTGACATGGGATGACCTAAAAGAGTTGGGTTGCGAAGACAAATGATTGGCTGAGGGCATGGTGTCAGAAGGAGCACTTTTGGTTCCTTGACCACAGCAACCAGTTCCTCTCCAAGGGACTTGAGGTGAGGGATGGGATGCACCTCACTGGGATGGAAAAAGGACCTTTGAGAATGCTCTAACAAGCTTTGTTTGGAGGGCTTTAAATTGATCCAGGGGGCTGGGGGACAAGGATACCAAGATACCAGTCAAAACTCCAAGCACTCTTGGATGAAAAAGCAGGTTGCTTACCTGTAACTGATGTTCTTCGAGTGGCCATCTGTGCAGTCACACATATGGGTGCTGCGCCTGCGCAGTGCCTAAGGTCGGAAGATAGAAAGCTAACCATTTTTGGCAGGAAGCTCCGCTTCCTTCCCCCTCACTAGTATATATATAGAGCAGAGCGTCCGCCATTTTACTCAGTCTTTGAAGACCAATCATTCGCCCCCTTGTGGGAGAGAAATACATTATAGCAAGTATCGTTGGTACCATGGATATAAAGATGTGATACCGATGAGGAAATCCACTCACCGACACCAAGCAGGGCTGGTGGGTGGGTTGTGTGACTGCACAGATGGCCATTTGAAGAACGTCAGTTACAGGTAAGCAACCTGCTTTTCTTCGTCGTGGCCTCTGTGCATCACACATATGGGTGACTAGCAAGCTTACCACGATCGGAGAAGGGTCAGTGTTGTTACTGAAGAACAGCTGAGAGAACCGCTCTTCCAAAAGAACAATCTTGTCTTGCACGTACGTCCAGGCGGTAATGTCTGGCAAAAGTACATGGAGCAACCCAAGTTGCAGCCTTGCAGACATCCTGAAGCAGAATTCCTGCTGCAAAAGCTGAAGAAGCAGCTAATGCTCTTGTGGAGTGACCTCTCGGAACAACAGGTAAGTCTATCTTGGCCAGCTGATAAGACAGTACAATGGTTTGGACTATCCATTTAGAAAGTCTTTGAGAAGTAACTGGAGATCCTTTATCCTGCTCAGAATATTTTACAAAAAGCTGATTGGAACGTCGGATAGATTCAGTTCTCGATCTGTAGAAAGCTAAACATCGCCTTACATCAAGCGCATGTAATGATCTCTCAATTGGATTCGATGGTGAAGGGAAGAAGGCAGGTAATATGATCTCCTGATTCATATGAAAAGGAGTAGCCACCTTCGGCAGAAAAGAAGGATCCATGTGTAGAACAACCTTTTCCCTATGAAAATGTAAATATGGAGGATCTACTCTAAGAGCACACAATTCACTAGCTCTTCAAGCCGATGTGACTGCTACAAGAAAGGCTGTTTTCCATGAAACAAGTCGCAAATCTATAGTTCCCATTGGTTCAAATGGGGTTCTAGTGAGTGTCTGAAGCACCACTGAAAGACTCCAAGTAGGCATGACAGGCCTGATTGTCGGATGCAGATTTTGAAGTCCTTTAAGGAATCTTTTTATCAGTGGTTGTGAAAAAAGGGATGATCCACGTATTGTGCCACAGTAGTAAGAAATTGCAGCCGTGAACACTTTTATAGATGATCGCTTGAGTCCTGAATGGTGTAGTTCTAGAAGAAACTGAAGGATATCTGCTATTGATGCCGAATGTGGAGAAAAAGAACGAGACTCGGCGAAGGAAGAGAATCTCCACCACTTTGCTGCGTAGGATCTTCGGGTTGACGGTCTCAATGCAGATTCGAGAATCCTCTGGATTTCTGAATGAAGGACTCTCAATCCCAATGTAAAGTCCAGTGAACCCGACAGGGTAGCAGGAGCCAATGGTTCCGAGGCAATAGTTTGAGTATTGGGTCCATGAGATGGATCCCCAGAGGGGATAGATGCTGCTGGTATCAAGTCAATATTGACGTTCATTGAATCCGCCAGGCTGTAAGTTTCAGCGATGCCAAGTCTGGGTGGCGTACCGTCCCTTCTTGTTGTGTTATTAAATATGGGACGGATGGAAGATGAAGGCATTCACTGTGAGACATGCAGAGAAGCATGGAAAACCATGGTTGGCATGGCCACCACGGAGTTATCAACAGTCCTGTGGCTTTGTCGTGAACAATCTTTGATACCACTTTCATTATAAGTGGGATTGGAGGGAAAGCGTAGAAATTCATCTTGTTCCAGGGGATCATGAAGGCATCCCCTGCTGATCCCAGTCCGATTCCTGCTCTGGAGCAGAAATTCTCGCATACCCTGTTCTGACGGGTAGCGAACAAGTCCATGTCAGGATGTCCCCAACGACGAAAGAGTTGGTCGAAGATCTGTTGATCCAACTCCCATTCGTGGGATGTCGACATCTGTCTGCTCAGCAGATCTGCCTCGACATTGTCCGTACCGGCTAGATGAACTGCTATGAGAGTAATGTCCCTCGGGATGCACCAGTCCCATATTTGCATCACAAGTCAGGCCAAAGCAGCTGACTTCGTTCCACCCTGCTTGTTCACGTAGAACACTGCTGTGATATTGTCTGAAGTTATCTGAACGACTTGATGTCAGAGCACGTCCTTGAAGGATCATAGAGCTTTGAAGATTGCGAACAGCTCGAGGAAGTTGATATGCTTTGTGGACTCCTGTTGGTCCCAAGCACCCTGGATTCAAAGAGTAGAACACACTGCTCTCCAGCTGACCAGGGATGCGTTGGTACAAAGAGTCACAGTAGGTTGTGGGGGTCGGAACGGAACCCCGGCATTCAAATTGGCTGGAACCGTCCACCATATCAAGGATCGTAGGGCAGAGGACGGAAGCCAGATTAGTTTCGTAGGCGAGTCCTGATGTGGTCGAAACATCTTGTTGAGATAAAGTTGTAGCGGTCGGAGTCGAAGCCTGGCATGTGGAACGGTGGCCACTGACGTGGCTATATGTCCCAAGAGTCATTGGATTGAGTGGGCAGGAACTATTCTGTCCTGTCGAATTCGATGAATGAGTAAGCCGAGGCTGTGTTGTCGGTCCTGAGGGAGAAATGCCCTCGCCACCGTGGAATCCAAACGGGCACTGATGAAGTTGATTATCTGCGCAGGAATAAGAGAGGATTTCTCTAGATTAATACAAAGTCCAAGGTCATTCAGTAGGGCACAAATTGTGCGAATGGATGACAGAAGGCCTTTTCTGGTCTGGGAAACTAATAACCAATCGTCCAAGTTTTGAATGC